CGAATTGGTTTTCTGAATTTATAAATGTAATTAATCTATTGTAATAATATCACAAATTAAATTAAATTAAAGCAATTTTTAATAATTTGATACTCAATTGTACGGAATACAAGAGATCCGGGTTCGACTCTCGGCCGAAGTAATATTTTTCACAATAAATTTATTTACAAGTAATATTTTTCAGCACATTAACATCTTTCTTATATGCCTGATTGAGCATTGAATTATTAAAAATTGCTTATCAATTTAATTTAATTTGATATTACAGTAGTTTAATTGTGTTTATAAATCCGGAAAATCAATTCAGCGTGCAGTTCGAATGAACTATAAATATCCCACACAGTACACTTTATCCTAGAGATGTCTAATGGATGTCATTTTGAAATATTGCGATAATCTTGTGATATCCGTGGATGGTTTCAGTTATCGAACAGATATCCAGGGGATGAATAAGTGTTCACATATGTGAGATCCCACGAAGATTTTAAACGATATCTGTGGGATATCCAAAGAACTCTACGAGATATTACAAGTACATATGCGTGCGTATATATGTGATTGTTATCAATAAAATAAAAGGAAAATGTTTTAGGATATTATATTATGGCCACTTTATGGGTTTATTCGGCATATTTCCAAGAATTTTTTTTCAGTAGTAAAATGCAATTAATTTAATCAAACTTTTTACACTTTATTTGTCACTTATTCAAGATTGTATAAAAATTTTTTTAAACGATTTCACGCATGCGCGGCTTCAAAATGGCGGCTGAAGTGAAGGTGGAAAAAAAAGTTTGGACCCTGAAATCTCCAGTTCTAATCGTCTGAAACAAAAAATCCAAAAAGATTCTTAAAATATATGTTAGTGGCTATATCCCGTAGTAGAATGAAACGATTTGGGCATTAAAAAAAAAATGGCGGACTTTAGAATTTTTTCACCCCTTTTTTACCCCTAAAATCGTCTAAAAAAGGGGTTAAAAGTAAACGAAAAATTCTAATTCCACTAGGGGCTAAAACTACATAAATTCTGAACAACCCCTGAAAATTTCAGCCCGATCGGTTAAATAGTTCTCCCAAAATCGTGGTCCAAAGGTCGAAAAACGTAGTTTCGAGAAAAACGCGTTTAAAGTTTTGTGTTGACAATTGTTAGTAAAATTATAAAAAAAAGCTTCTTACGCTCAATTGGCGATGCCTGCTCAATACATTATGGAGTACATAATGGGTACTTAAGGTACCCGAAAATGATGCTTTTGGGAAATCGAAAATTTTGAAAAATAAAGTAAATAAAGTGGCCTTATGGAAGCAAAACATATGTTATTGTCTCATTATTACATAATGAAATTAAAAAAGATTAATTTGAAATAATATATATATTATATCTTTGTAATTTAGATATTCTTAGGCTTCGGAAATGTTATCTCTGTGCATCGTTTTATCCTTGTTGTTCAACCAATGTTAAACAAGGTAAGATAATACACGGGGGCATCCGGGTAATGTTTTCGAATACAGCCTTATCATAATATTTAATATAATAAAAATCTGTAAGCTTCGTGAGATATACCTTAATTGGCACGCAATATGTTGTGTCTGAAGTAACGATGACATTCTTTACTTCCATCTTTTAGTTCTGACACTTTCCAATTACAAATCTTTGCTGTACTCTGAAGCATTCTTAGGACATTTCTTGGAGAACTGTGTTGTATGATAGAAGGATTTGAATATGATAAGATATTTTAAGATATTAAGGATATCACGCGGAAAGATTTTAGGATATCTTATAATATTTTATCCTACGATTTTACGATATTTTCTTTGGATATCTCGGGGATATCTGTGGGCTTTGTCAACATAATAATAATTTGGGATAATTTGGGATAATTTGGGATATCCTCGGGCTAAAGTGTGCTGTGTGGGATGGTATATATGCATGTACATCTATAATACACACACACACACACGCGCGCGCGCGCACATGTAGAAAAAAAAAATATATATACTTGTATATAATTCACATTGAATTATTTAAAGCATTAAAGATTCAGCTTTAACCTGTATAGGCTTCTAATTTATTGATTGTGATTCTAATAACAATTAAAATTTTATAATCTTATTAATAATTATTATAGAAAATCTAATTCTTATATTTTTAAATTATAAATAACTAGAAGGATTACAAATAAGACGAGATATTTTAGTTTGGAAGTTAAGCGTGTAAATAATTATCAGACAATAGAATTAGTTAATTACTTCATATGTCTGATAACATATTTTTTTATGGTAACTATTGTAATATTTCATATTATTCTAACTTAGCAGCATTAACAGTATATATATTGCCTTAACAGAATGTTTTGATCTTAAAACAAATAAAATAAAAAATTTTAGTGTAGAATCAGTAACGCGTTTGTACAGGGTGTTTAGAAAAGAATGATAAATCTTTTGCATGAAGGCAAAATGGACTAAACTGAGAAGAAAAGTTCTTTACCATTTTGGAATTTTCGCAATAAACTTTACAGAAAAACTGCAAAAGATGAAAATTGTTTATTTCCTTCTCATAGAACTCTACGAATTTTTTCAGAATTTTTTATCAACTTTCTAGTACTGCATTTTCTCATTTTTACCAACATGAGAAAATACGGTATTAAAAAATTCTGAAAAAATTTTAAAAAAATTCTTAGAGCTCTATGAGAAAAATTAAACAATTTTTGTCTTTTGTAGTTTTTTTGTAAAGTTGATAGTATTTGAATAAAAAATTATTGAAGACCAATTTTTGGCAATTTTTAGCAATTAATATTTTGTTAACTATTGCGAAAATTGCAAAATGATAGAGGACTTTTCTTCTCAGTTTAGTCGATTCTATGCGAAAGATTTATTTTCCAAACATCCTGCATATCTATTTTTTATTTCTGTACTCTCTGAACTGGTGTAATACATTGAAATAAAATAAATGTATATTTGCTTTACTTCAACTTATTGTACCAATGCAGGAATAAAAAATAGATTTTGAGTTTTTAAGATTGAAGCTTTCTTCAGGACGCCGAAACACTAGGGACGCCACAACTTATTATAAAAAGAAAATAAAGACAGGTAATTTAAACAAGCGTGTTTGTAGTGCTATTTTAGGTACGTTCCATTCAACCTCTGCAATGAGCATTATTTTATTCTAATTGTTTTCAAATGTTAAAGAGTCAAATGATGTTCGCAAACGTTAAGTGAAACATATCCTTTATAGATATTATTGCAATTATAGGTAGCTGCTTTCATTAACGTACCTTCTTGGTGCGAAAGGCTATCGCTTTCTTAACAATAAGATTAATAACATGATTATTATCACCGAGAAGATACTATTTTTCATCTTTGACATCGATTTGAATCGCATAGCATCTATTCACACTTTCACTTTCCTAATAGCAGAGGGGCGTTTCGCCAGCTAAACGGAACGTCCTTAGGACATCCTTTGTTATCCAGGGATGTCCTGAGGATTATCAAATGAGCGCCTCATTATGTCCTACGTATAACACAGGACTACGAAATTCGAAGCCCTAAAGATGTTCATCCGTAATCCTTAATGGGGATAATTCTATTCCCATGCAACACAGACTTACGAGAGACATGTTCTAAAGTCATCCTATGGACGATCATGGGATATCTCTCGGATAAAGATTTAAAAAAATATTATGTTCATTAATTTTATTGATACAAAAAAATACAATCATATAATCTCGCACTAATTGTAAGTACATATGAAATAATATTTTGACATCTCATATAGCACACTTTATCCTAGAGATGTTATTGCGAACGTTCTCGGAAAGTTAGGATATTTTCAGAATGTTCTTCAAAACGTCCCTTCTGTGTTATATGATGTCAATTCAATAGATACTTTCAGAAAGATTAGAAAGTTTTACATTTTAAAATGTTCTCTCTTTGTCAAGAGTACCAGTTAAATTCTATTATTTTAAATTAAATTATTTTTTAGTTTGTTGTTTTTACCATAAGTGACGAAAAAATTGTGATGTATTAACGACGTTTATCGACTGTATTTCGGCTGAAGTATTGAGTTGTAATCTTAAGAGTAATTGTTATTGCAGACAAATTCCGTAACAATAAGCGTAAACCATAAAGCATTAAGCTGATGAACCAATCAGGATACTGCTTTAGATCTACGTAATTTGACAGAAATGAAAATAGCAGTAAACTTATTCATAAAGCAAATTTCAATTGGTTGAAATTAGTTCATTGGTTTAAGTTCATGTCTTAAGGTTACTGTTAACAGAAATTTTGTGTGCAGTAGCTCTAATTGTATGTCTTTTAAGTATCTTTAATTTATATTTATTTGAGATACTCAGTCTTTTTTACACTATCCAGCCATCCAACTGCAATAGTTATATTTTGCTCTCTAAGAAAGGATGATTGACTACTTTATGTGAAAATATTTTCGGTATTAAGTTTATAGGTTTTTAAGCATGTAATTTGTTTCGCGTAGTCGCTTTATTGAAGATGGCTAAAAGTTTGGCCAAAACATGTATACGTATTCTTAGAAATGTAGACATATAATTATATTTTAATGACATTTATATTTATTGTGCATTTTTTACAGCGCTAATTTTCAGTAGCCGTTTTTTTTTACTAGGTTGTAATTTTATTAACTTTTAATTTATTTTTTTAATTTGAGTTAACTCTCAGATAATATACATGATATGTATATTTAATTGATCACCGTCGAAAATAAAATAATTTAATAGAAAGTTATTAGTTGATATGTGTATAT